CCCACCTGGGCCACGCTCACCTGCGGCTGAAGGCCAGGTCCATGACTCTCCGCTGCTTGTGCCAGCGCTCGTAGTCACACTCGGACACCAAGCCTTGGCCAAACAGCCTGTGGGGCACAGACACTGATGAGAGAAGCAGGCTGGGGGGGGGCGGGGCTGACGGCCAGGTGGCCAGGGGGTCACCTTTGGGGCGACGACAACGTTCTGGGAGTGGACAGCGCTGTGAATACACCACATGCACTGAATTGTACCTCCAATGTGGTTAACAGGGTGGATTTTACGTATGTGAATTTAACCACCATAAATAATAAGTAAACAAAAAAGAAATGAGGTGATCATGTGCCCCAGTCTCAGTGACCCCCGCACTCCCACCTGCCCTGGGAGGGGAGAGAGGAAAAGGGAGGTGCCCATGACGAGAGCGGTGGCCACCGGGCCTGGGGCTCGTGCTGTTGCCTGGCAGCCAGGAGCTCGGCCCCTAACGCTACCCCAAGGCTCTAGAGCCCATGAGCCCTCTCCGCCCAGCCAGAGGCCTCCCCCCAGGCCCTCCCTCTCGCCTTACCTCTCACCAAACACAGTCTGGATGGCGTGGTACATCTTGGAGTCCTTGTTGTACTTGGTGGACATCAGGAACTTCTAAACATCCCAAAAAACCAACGTCAGCTTGGGCACCCGAGAGAGGACCTCAGCAGTTTCAAGATAATCACCTAGAGCCGAGCCTGCTACGGCGTGAGCACTCACACACGGGGCCTCGCCTAACCCTCTGGAGCAAGAGCGTCCCGTTCAGGGATGAGGAAAACGGGGCACCAAGGGGTGAAGCAATTGTCCTGTGGCCACACAGCTGGAGCTCCAATGCCCACACCTTGCCACCTTCCAAAATGGCAAGAACAAAGAAGGACATGGCTGCTCTGGACCCAGAGAGCCTGGAGGGAGAGTGTCCGGGACATAGGAGAGACACTCGGCACAGACGCAGGATTGTTGCTGCCAACCCAGCCATGGAAATCACGGGAGGCTTCCTGGAGGAGGTCAGCTTCCTCACCAAGAGCTGCATGGTGCAATAGTAACATTAGCTAACAGCTCTTTTTTAAAAATTCTTTATTGTTTAAAGTATTACATATGATTCCCTTTTCCCCCATTGACCTCTCCCTGCTCATTCCCACCCCCACCCCCGCAACACATGCCCTCACCCCCCTACTGACTGTGTGCATGGGTTATGCTTATATGCATGCAGACAAGTCCTTTGGTTGATCTCTTACCTCCCCCCTACCCCAACCCTCCCCAGCCTTCCCACTGTAGTTTGACAGTCTGTTCAATGCTTCTCTGCCTCTGTATCTATTTTTGTTCATCAGTACATAATGTTCTTTATTGGGCCTTCAGGTTTTAGATCTTAGTTTTAGTCAGATGTGAGACCTGGAAAGGTTAGTTTAGAGCCGTGGTCTGCAAACTGCGGCTCGCGAGCCACATGCGGTTCTTTGGCCCCTTGAGTGTGGCTCTTCCTAAGCCTTAGGAGTACCCTAATTAAGTTAATAACAATGTACCTACCTATATAGTTTAAGTTTAAAAAATTTGGCTCTCAAAAGAAATTTCAATCGTTGTACTGTTGATATTTGGCTCTGTTGACTAATGAGTTTGCCGACCACTGCCCTAGACAATTCAGATGCTAGTCTATTCTTCCAGTTGACTTTACAATGAAGCAAACCGGCCAGCCATGGTCTCTAAACAGTTATTAAATATCTACATTTTTCAGGAAAATTATGTTCTACAAAGGTTCTGGTGTTTAAAAGATCCATAGACAAACTTTAAAAGAATGGTTCCACCTAAAAAGGGGGAAATACACTGAAAAATAAATTTATAAAGAAAAACCACCAATACTATAGGCACGATATAGTCACACAAAGACTGGTAAAATCACAAGGCTGTTTTTCAATAAATCATAACAAAGTGAGGAAGTTCTGGGTTAGGTGACAGAGGCTGGTAAAATCCACAGTCTTCAATTCTATGGATGTTGACTTAATGCAGACTCATCACTATTATGAAAAAATAATTGGAGTTTATCTCTTTTAGATCCCAAGCCATTTCTATATAGAAAGGGAAACATCTCTCAAGGCACGAATGAAAAAGAACATAAATGCCTACCTACTCTAGTGAGCTGCTTCTTATCTGTTACCTTGGGAGGAAATGCCTGCCTCACGCCTACCAGTGCAAAATCACCGAAAAAGTGGAGATTATGAGGATAAAACAACACAAAGAGTAGTTCCCTACCCTGTGCCTCCCACTGCATGAACTTTTGACATATCAGCAAACTCTTCCTTTCTCTTGCTGCCGCTGGTGTACTGCTCGCTGTACAGCTTGAGGGACATCATCAATGTGTCTCTCTCACATTGCTGTTTCTGTCTGTCTGTCTCTCTCTCTCCCTTCCACTCTCTCTGAAAATCAATGGAAAAAAATATCCTCAGCTGAGAATTAACAACAACAAAAAAGGTAAATAAATATTATGGACAACTTTATACCAATAGTTTCAACAATTTAAAAGAAATAGACAAATTCCTTGAAAGACACCAAACTAAGAAAAAAATAGGAAATCTGGATGGTCATATAGCAATTAAAGAAATTGAATGTATAATTAAGACAAAATAACACTTCTCCAAAAAAATGCCAGGCCCAATGGCTTCACCAGTGAATTCTATCCAACATTAAAGGAAGAAATAACACCACTCTCATACAAGCTCTTTCAGAAAGAAAGTGGAAAGGGAACTTTCCCTAACTCATCTTATGAGACCGATTAAACTGATACCAAAACCAGACAAAGATCTTATAAGAAAAGAATAAAGATAGAAATAAAAATTCTTGCCGAAACCGGTTTGGCTCAGTGGATAGAGCATCGGCCTGCGGACTGAAGGGTCCCGGGTTCGATTCCGGTCAGGGGCATGTACCTGGGTTGCGGGCACATCCCCAGTAGGAGATGTGCAG